TCGTCATACTCTGATGTCCGTCGCCTCCGTCGCCCGTTTGGCTCAACTGGAGCGCGCGCAAGCTCGCGATGCGTTACATCAGCTCTGACGCATCAACGATGAAAGTGCCGAAACGCCCATCCATAGGACTAACAGTTGTTTTCCTCTTGGGCCTGGAACTGGCATCGCCATCGTAAAAGTGTGACAGCGGAACGCATCGACATATGGACGGAGTTGCGATCGGATCTCATTCGCGTACGCGCGGGTCCGACTCAAGCTCTGAATTGTGTCGGGGTGGATCTGAACCCCGTCTCCGTGGATCTGACTCTGACTCCATCCCTCTGATCCAAGTTCCGTCCGGTTGCTCACATGGTCCTGATTGCGAGCGGGGGTGCCAACGTTAAACAGTAGCTCCGGAAGCAAAGCGGAGTCTGGTCCAAGGTCCCAGGCCCCGCTTGCGCTGAGGACATCGGGGGGATCGCGGGCGTTCTCGAATCGCCACGGTGAGCCCGTCGTCTCCTGCTCATTCCGATCAGCCTCCCCACACATGGACAGCACTCAGCACGATCGTTTACTCATCTCCCCAGCAGTGCACATGCCGACAGGCAATCCGAACGCCACGCGCTCGGCGGCGCTAGCGCTCTCGCGCCCAATGCTCATGGCGGTTCGTACCTCAAGAGGAAGCGTTCGTCCTGGGTAGGTGCGCTCTTGGGGTGCTTCACCTGACCCAAACTGGCCAGACGTACTTACATGGTCACACTTCCACACACACATAAGAGTCCACTGGCTGTAGGGCTCAGCATGGCCCTGCTTAGGTATGCTGGTGATGTACAGCTGCCTTCTGCGGACCACACAAAGATCGCGCCCGAACTTGTGAGCAATGTCTAGCCTGGGGAACGGCTTCTCGGCCCCTGGACCGTCGGAGAACAACACGAGATGAAGAACTGATCCTGGCGAAGGCGTCGAGATCTAGCGGGATCGCTGAGTCGGTCTGAGGTTTGCGCAGTGCTTGGGGATCTCTGAGCAAGCTCAAGGGTGCACCTCCACAAAAAGCATGTCTCCAGCTGGAGCCGTACCAGCTTGACAGACGGGCAAGGGCAGGAGGAGGAGGAGGAGGATGAGGAGAAGGAGGAGGAGGAGGAGGAGGAGGAGGAGGAGGAGGAGGCCAATCGGAAGGCGCTTGTCGACCACTGGCGGCTGCTGTCCTGCGCAGAGGCCCCAGACTGGGGCACGCCAGCCATCTACCGTACCGACCCTGGCCAAGCCAATCCCGGGCCCAAGATCGGTGCGAACGCCCTCCTGGGCCTGGCCAGGGAAGCGGGTATAGATATATATATATATATATATATATGAATATATATATATATAATGTACATGTACATGTATATATATACATATATATATATATATACGTCGGGTCCACGTCGTGCCGACGTCGGCGTTGGCTGCTGACACCGCGGGAATCGTTCAACCTTGAAAGATCGGCCGTTTCCAGAACACGTCCAGATCGTTCCACATCGAACGATTCTGGGTCGCCCGCGGCGTTCAGAGTTGAACGCCGCTGTCGGGGTCGCCGCCGGTCGACACGACACGAACCTGCCGCACGAAGCGCCTGGGCCAAGGACCAGAGTGGTCCTGCCAGGGTCGGCAATGGGCAGTCGACGTCCCTCGAATCCGTCCCCATCACTGCTTGCAGTCCGGCTCCGCCCAGCACCGAGCGCTCCACCATGCTGCCTGCCTGTGCGGGGGGCGAGGGCAAGAGGGCCGGGGGGGCAGGGCGCGTGGTGCGGGATTTGCACGGGACAGCGCGAGCGAGGCAGAGACTGGAGGGGCATCGCGTGAAACAGTCTACCCAAAATAGACTTCCAGAGATCCGCGCGGACCACCGGAAGTCGATGTTTATGCAGTTGTTTCTTCGTCGAGAGTGGTCAGGGAGGCAGTTCAAGGCGTCTGGAGGCAATCTCTGGGCCCAGCATAAGACTTCTCGTGACGAACATGTTCAGATTGTTGCCGAGATATTTGCCCTGAGCGGAGTGGGTTGGCAGCGTAGTTCTCACCATCTTCAACTTGACTTTCATCTGCTTTGCTCGCGCGCTGCACCACACGCGCCTGGGAATACCGCAGCGTCTTTTGCTCAGCCCAGGACCTATCGCCCGAAACTCGCCACCGCCATACAAATGATGTTTGGGGCGGACTAGCAACAAGCGTCAATAGGTAGGCTCCGGAGCCCCACGTGTTCGCTTCAGGGCGTGAACCTTAAAGGGCCTAGAGGAGAGGAGAGAGATGTTTGTTCCACGCTTGGGCGATGCGTGTTCCAAAGCTCTCACGGCCGATCCGAGAGAGAAGAAGAGAGATGTTAAGTCCACGTGGGGGCCACGCTCATTCAAAGGCGTAAAACCGGAAAAGCCGAGACGGACAAATGGAGGTGATCGGTCCTCCCGGTGGCAAGGCTTAATCAAAAAGAACAGAAAGGGAATGTGAGACACTATCGTTCCTTGTGGGGGTGGGGACTATTTAAAGGCGTGGGCTTCAACCAACACAAGAGAAGGATAGATATGATTGTTCCATGCTGTGGCGAAGTTTAATTCAAAGGCGTGGAGCTCGAACAACGAAGATGGAAGGAAGGATAATATTGCTCTGTGTAGGGAAGATGCTTGCTTAAAGGCATGCAAATCAAGAGCCAGCACAAAAAAAGGAGAGAGGTGGTTGTTCCACGCTGGGGGAGGCATACTCAGATGCGCGAAGCACGGGAAGCCGAGAAGAAATATGAAAAGTTATTGTTCGATTGAGGGGGAGAGCTTTCTTCAAAGGCGTCGGGATTGCAGACCAGAGAGGGAAGGACTGTCTTCTTTTCCATGCAGGGTGAACCTCTGGAACGCCCTGTGCGGCAACAGAGACGAGCGGCTACTGGCCTGACCTGCTGTAAACTCGCTGTGGCGTCAGCTGTACCAGACGCGTGAAATTACAAGGAAGTCGCTAGAAGGCGCAAGACGCGCCAGTGGCTGCAGACCAACGCGTGGACACGATATCATCCTTGACCCCCGACATCGTGAGCTTGATCATTGTGGGCCCCGAAGCGGCCTCCAGTAGAGGGCAAACAATCCACCCCCATAGTAACCACCCCAACAAGCGAAGCCGTTTAGTAAACGTATTCAAACAAGGAATCGAACAGGGCAGGGCTGTTAAGTCAACGCCCAGGGCCATTTAGTAAACGCAAATTATGGGGTCCGGGTGGTTTTTCCTCCCTTGATCCAGACACCGAAGGTGACAACAAAAACCTCTAGTGCTAATTCTCAGAGCCGCGCAGAGGGCTAGAACCCCTGATGCCTCCCTAGAGGGGCCCGCGTAGATGGGATCGGAACATCGCGCCGCATCGCCAAGACATCGCCAAGACGTCGGCGATGCACCGGCGGTGCGGAGCAATCCTCCGACCAGATCCACTTGGACCCTATTTGTAGCAGAAGAAAAACAAGAAACTGCGTAAAAAACAATTTTTGGCGCTTCGCGCGGATTTCTTGGATCTTCGCTGCACGGAGCGCGCCAGGGGCGCCGCGGGTCCGAGAAATCCGCGCAGAGCGCCAAAACATCATGTTTCTGGCGTATTTTCTTTTTCGAAATTTGGGAAGGCGAAGGACCCAACCTTCTGGGCTCTGGAAGGTTGGGCGCGCCGGCCTTTCGAGAACGACCCGCTCTGTCATTCCCTTCGGGGAGGGTAATGCAACGGGCCTGGGGTACGTATCACGACGGGCTGTCGTGCCCAAGATGGATGCAGGATGGCCCCTGAGATCCCAAGACGGCCTTCCGGATGGCCCAAGATGGCCAAACAACTCCGAGAGGCCTCGAGGAAATCCCAAGACGGCACAGGGTGGCCCTGGTGCCTCACAAGCAGGCCTACCCAAACATGTTCGATGATTCCCTCCTTCTAAACGGATCGGCTTCCGATGGGCCTCTGAGACCACAAGATGGCCCCGGCATATCCAAAGAAAGCCGCGAGAGAAGCCCAAACTGGCACTAAGAGGGCCACCGGCCAGCAATGCTCAAAAGAGCAGCCCGCAAGTCCAGGGGGTGGCGCGATTCAACGATCCTCATTTTTTGCAGAGGTCCTCACGCATGGCCCCAGGATGACCTCAAACGATCCCCAAAGCACCCGAAATTATTCCAAAAGGCTCAGCAAGACTGGCGCAGCTACGGTATCCTGCCTGCTAGGGCTGATCCCTGCGTTGATTTGTTCGTTGGTGCACCACCACCTTGAAACAATGGTGCTCACCCACTTCCCTTCTCACAACTCGCCTGACTCGTTCCTGGAAAGGCTGGTGGGGCCACGCTCGACGCTAAATCACTCTACATCCAGCACCCTCTCCTCGCTCTTCTAAGTACTTGCCATTGCCACGATGGCCACTACGTGAGGGGGCTTACCCGGCGCTCGGGTCGCGGCGAAAGCGGAGCGGGCGCCTGCGGAAGCGGGCCTGAAGAGCACCCAACGCCAGCGAACGCTCTCTCGGCTGGCTCAGAGGCCCAGCCGCAAGGACGGTCCACGGCGCGGACTGCGGAAACCTATTGTGCCCACTACGTACTCTGGCACAGGAGGCCCGAACATGTCGACAGGATGTCTCAGCCGGCCGGAGGAAAGCCCTGGCCAGCAACGAAACAGAAAAGGATGTCCGCTGGTCGCGCGGCGCGGCTGCGCCGCGGGAAAAAGCCGATGGCCAGCCCAAGGGCAGGGCCGCCACTGCAAGAGCCACACGTGCGGGCCCGACGAGTAGACAGTCCGCACCACGTCGATTCCTCCGCCCTCCTCTGCCCTCCTCTTCCTCCCCTCGCTCCTGGGCGAGGGAGGGGGCGAGGGAAGGGGGTGGTGGCGTATACGTGTGGGCCCCGCAGGACGGGAGGCAAACAAAAACAGTCCCAGAGGGGGCCGCCCACGCCCCCGCCCTCTCCGCCCGCTCGGCCAGGCAGGGGGTGGCCGCCGCCGCGGCGCGCGGCGCCGTGGAGCAAGGGGCGCGAGCCCCGCCGTCGGGGCCCTAGGGCGAGGAGGGCGGGGACCGCGGCATGCCACTCGCGATGGCCCTCCGCGCCCCGGCGAGGGCCGTGCAGCGCAGCAGCACCCTCTGGACCCGAGCGTGGACCTTGTCGACCTCCGCCTGCTCGGGGCTCGACTCGGCCTGCCACACCTCGCCCCACCTGGAGGTGTTCTTGCCCAGGTGGTCGGCCAGGTCGTTCAGCGCAGGGAACAGGTGGACGCAGGCCTCACACATCGGGGCGACCACGAACTCGATGAAGCCGATCTGTGAAATGGGCCTGTTGACCTTTTCGCGGTCGTTCAGGAACTGCACCGGTATCCCAAGCTCTCGCTCCTGGTCGCCCTGGGCGAAGAACTCTTCAAATACCATGTCAGCGTATCTATGACAAAGCTCCCATGGCTTCATCGGGTTGGAGATGTCCGCGCAATGCAGGAGTGCATTTAGTACTGTCTGGACAGACTGAGGTGACTCGTTCACCACGGAGCCAGGGCTGCACCGATCAAACGATTCAGAATTGACCTCGTAGAAGATCCCAAGCTCCTTGACCATGCTGAAGTGGTGAACCATGTCTGTGTGTAGGATGCCATCGATGATAACTTTCCGTATGTCCTTGTACAGGTCATTCTCTGTGCCTCTGAAGATGTCGCAGGAAGGGTCCTTCGTGATGTGGAAGAGCTTCGAGCAATGCATCATTTCCATCGGTGACCGGTCGTTGTACTTCAAGGCGAGCTCATGCGAGGTGTCAATCAAAAACTGGTTGCTCACGCCAAGGTGCCCGACATCGTGTCCCAGGGCAGCGATGAGCAAGAGGTACTGTGATACCTCGGTGAGGAAGCCCCCAGCTTCGATTAGGTGCAGGAACCTAGACACCGAGCAAAGCACGTCTACTCCGTGGGCGAAGTTGTGAAAAGGGTTCTCAGGGTACCCCTGCTGCACGGCCGAAATGAATTTATTCAGCGTCTGGCTCTCGACATTAACTGTCACCCAGTCGGCGCAGCTCGCATGAGTTGTGAAGATGTACTCGCAGACTCCTAGTTGCACCTCTTTGTCCCAAACCAGCACGTTGCAATGCGCGGAGTCTAAAGATCCAACCACGTTTTCGGACAGACCGTCCTCCCATGTCTCGTCATCCATGGACACTACGCTGGCAGCCCATGTGGGACTCAACAGCATCGTACCCCGAGGCTGAGCACTCAGGGTTCTGTCTTTCAGGCTCAATGTTCTTGCTCGGGACATGTTGCTTACAGTTCTGTTCCGGGACAGGGTCCCAGAGGAGGGAGCTCCAGACGAGCCCCCTGCCGAGACTCTCACAGAGAACAGCGACCGCTGCAACCGGATCGCGTTCGGGGTGCCCTCGTCGCTGCCAATCACTGAACCAATCTGCGACGCCTTGGGCCTGGCCGAGCCGTGCATCCAGTTGAGCTTGATGATGTCCTCCTCTCTCATGTCTTTGGTGACCTGGGGCTCGCTCCTCTTTGTCGAGAGAGAGGCGATGCCGCTGAGCTTCGTGATCACAGCCTCCAGGAGCAGGAACTCGTTGACGTCATCGTTCTCCTCGTCCTCAGGCAAGATATCCTCCTGGATACCCGCAGCGAACTTGAATATCTGCTTACAGTGTTCTCTCACCACGCTCAACATGCGCTCAAGTGGCGCCAAGGCAATCGCGCTTATGCTGTTGCTCATCAGCAAGCCAAAGCTAAGCATGACCACGACAATGAGAACGATCGTGGCCATGCTCGCAGCCGACTCCTGCGCCTTGACGACAGACATGTCGAAAAACGCGTCGAAATCGGACTCGCGGACCTCCCTGATGGAGGCTCGGCGCCTGGGCCTCTCGAAAGAGGAGCTCAGGGTCAGCGCCTGGCAGTCGAAACCGTCACCGACGGGCACCCTGTAGCAGACCTCATAGGGCCCGTAGTTCAGGTCCTGGTAGAACTCTGAGAAGCGCCGGAACTCAGAATTTCTCAACTCTGACTTCTCGGAAGAGCCCGGGCTTGCCAGCACCTCCTTGACGCTCCTGTCAAGGAGCTTGGCCCACGAGGTGAAGGAATGGTCGCTCTCTGGATACTGAAACATATTGAATATTGGCATCGTCACTACGATGCTGATGGTCAGGAAGGCGACCCGCTTCGCCAGCCCGCTGTTCAGCCGGCCGGTGATCGAGTGGGCCACCTTCACATTGCCGTCGTCACCCTCCTGCGTGTACCTGCTCCCCCCGATGAGGTCTCCGAAGGCTCCCGGAGGCCTCCGCCATCCATCCAGGAAGAGGCCCCGAGAGGACGATTCTGGATGTCTCCTGACGCCCGCAAAAGGGACCCCCCGGACCAAAAATCTTGATCCTCAACCCGCTCGAGGTACAGGAAGGGCATGAAGCGCAAGATCTTCACCACTCGGGTCAGCCGCCCGGCGCGCGCTCCGAGTCTGGCCACGCGGGCCGCCCGGACGAGGATGACGTTGTCCTTGGCGCTGGTCTCGCTCCACTCCTCTGGGCGCGTGGCGTCGGTCCCCAGCAGGAAGGAGATGTCGAACAGCATGGAGAGGGAGCCGATGACAGAGAGCCCCCGACAGACATGTGCAGACACTTCTAGGCGTCCGCGCGGGCTTCTGGGTCGGCGCTCGGGAGGGACGTCCAGGGCCGAGCCGGGAAATCCGCGCGGAGGTCCAGAGATTTCTGTTCATGTGTTCTCTCTGGGCTCTCTAGATGAGGTCCATCCAGAAGAAGAAGCCCCCCTTGTACGTCCTCTCCGTGAGCGCCAGCCCAAGGAGCTCGCACAAAAAGACCACGAGAACCAATGTCAGAACCACGTCCAACTCCGTGTTCGACGGGACCTAAAGCAATACAGAAGCGTCGTGCAGGACCAGCGGGGCTGGAGTAGCGGATCTTCGGGGGCCCCCGAGAGTCTCTGGAGCTTCCCTGACGCCCTCGGAGGTCCTCAGAGACCTCGCCATCGCTCGGACATCCATTCCGTGTGCTTTTTTCGGTTTCGTGCGTGGTTTTTTTCGCCAAATGATCAAGGATGCTCCTCGATGGTCCTCGCCGAAAGAAACATGCACACGTCCGAGCGATGCCGAGAGACACAGGAATGATTCGAAACAGCGGCGGAAATGCTCCCTTCCATCGGTCTTTCCACAGCGACCTGCAGCAGTATGAAGGCGTCATACAGGAACAGGGCGCAGAACAGACAGCCCATCGTCACGAAAGAGAAGGCCTTGCCGCGGAGGAGCCTGTGGCACGCCACCGTCGCGTCGGACTCGTACCTCCGGGTCGAGCTTGGCCTCTGGAGGCCCGCTCCGGGCCCAGGTCAGGCAAGAACCGTCCGGGACAAAAACTCCTCCCCCTCCTCCTCCTCCTCCTCCTCCTCCTCCTCCTCTTCTTCTTCTTCTTATTCTTATTATTATTCTTTTTCTTCTTCTTCTTCTTCTTATTCGCCTCCTCCTCTCCTCCTCCTCCTCCTCCTCCTCCTCCTCCTCCTCCTCCTCCTCCTCCTCCTCCTCCTCCTCCGCCTCCTCCTCCTCCCCCTCCCCCTCCCCCTCCTCCTCCCCTCCCCCTCTCCTCCTCCGCCTCCTCCTCCTCCTCCTCCTCCTCCTCCTCCTCCTCCTCCTCCTCCTCCTCCCCTCCTCCTCCTCCTCCTCCTCCTCCTCCTCCTCCTCCTCCTCTCTCCTCCTCCTCCTCCTCCTCCTCCTCCTCCTCCTCCTCCCCTCCTCCTCCTCCCTCCTCCTCCTCCTCCCTCCTCCTCCTCCTCCTCCTCTCCTCCTCCTCCGCCTCCTCCTCCGCGCCTCCTCCTCCTCCTCCTCCTCCTCCTCCTCCTCCCTCCTCCTCCTCCTCCTCCTCCTCCTCTCCTCCTCCTCCTCCTCCTCCTCCTCCTCCTCCTCCTCCTCCTCCTCCTCCTCTCTCCTCCTCCTCCTCCTCCCCCCCTCCTCCACCTCCTCCTCCTCCTCCTCCTCCTCCTCCCCTCCTCCCCCTCCTCCCCTCCTCCCTCCTCCTATTCCCTCCTTCCTCCTCCTCCTCCCTCCTCCCCCTCCTCCCTCCTCCCCTCCTCCTCCTCCTCCGCCTCCTCCTCCTCCTCCTCCTCCTCCTCGCGTCTCCTCCTCCCTCCTCCTCCTCCTCCTCCTCCGTCCTCCTCCTCCTCCTCCTTCTCCTCCTCCTCCTCCTCCTCCTCCTCCTCCTCCTCCTCCTCCTTCGGGCCCTGGGGAGAGGCAACGGAGGCTCGCACTGCCTGGCGTGTCTCCCTGAAGAGACCTCTTGAAATACTCTGATGTGTCCGCTGGCCTGGGCCAGCCTTCCGCTGGCAGAGCCGCCCCAGCCTTCCACCGAGGAAGAGAAGTCGGCTTCTCAACGCCCTGAGGGCATGGGGAAAACAAGAGGTACAGATACCGATACTCCCCGGATCTCTCCCGGGGTGCGTTCTGACCAGAATTTCGAAGCGAATCCAACGGTAGCGACGAGAGCCTCCCAGGAGGGCGAAGAAGGGGAAAACGGGCGAAGGACAGCGGTATGGGTACCGTGTCCTTCCCTGAGGGCAAAGCCCTGTCAGGGACAGCCCAGGCACAAGACAGACGCTGGGATTGACAAAGTCACGATGTCGGTTTGGGCTTCTTTGCTTCGGGGGGCACTATCTGTCCCGTCGCACCGCCATCCATACCGAAGCCGCGTCGGACCCACATCGAACGTCGAGTCCGCGTCGAATCCAGGTCGAATCCGTGCAAATCCAAGCCACATCCGCATCGAATCCTCGTCGAGTCCGCAAGCCGTGTGCCAAGCCCCTGCCGCCAGGGCGTTAGCAAACGGTGTGGTAGCTAAGGGCCTCTTCAAAGGAGAACGGGGCGACAGGGCATGTACCTCGCACTATTGCGTGATAAATCGAGACGACAAAGCGTCGATACATCATCACATCTCTGGGCGGGCGGGTTTACCTCGCATTTGTGCGCGGCAAATCATTTGTTTGAAAGCACCATTGACAACGCACCCTGAGCCACTGGCGCATTTGCTAACGCCCCGTCTGCAGGGGCTTGGGTTTTGGTCGGGCGTGTCCTCCTACAGGGGGATTTTGGATGACAGATGCATAGTAGCCAAACAATTTTGAAAAAGAGTCAAACAAGTGTCAAAGCATCGTCCCCAGATTATTTGTGGGGGCTATGTTTGAACATTCCGCCTGTAGAGGGGCACGCCCGCCTTAAATTAAGTCGGGCGTGTCCCTCTACAGGCAATGTCTATCAATTTCTGCGAACCGCGCCCAACAAACCGCGTGATGGCTCAGTTCAAAATGTCCCACTCGCTGCGTGCACAACGACCCCCGGTGCGATGGCCGACGCGCTGGTCGCGCTCATCGAGAGAGCGGGGGCACCAGGAAAGCAAACCTTAGATCTGATGGGTACCCCAGGGGGGTAAAGACCACAGCTCCCCCAGTTACCGCTGGCCTGTTAATTGCAACCGTCTAAGATCCAGGATCACAGGGGCAGCGAAGGTCGCGCGCCGCGCTTCGCAAAACGCGACGAAAAGCGTACAACGCTCTCGCGCCGCCCTCGGGGGAGTCGTCGTCGTCGTCGTCGTCGTCCTCGTCCTCGTCCTCGTCCTCGTCCTCGTCCTCGTCCTCGTCCCCCTCCTCCTCCTCCTCCTCCTCCTCCTCCTCCTCCTCCTCCTCCTCCTCCTCCTCCTCCTCCTCCTCCTCCTCCTCCTTCCTCCTCCCTCCTCCTCCTCCTTCCTCCTCCTCCTCCTCCTCCTCCTCCTCCTCCTCCTCCTTCCTCCTCCTCCTCTCCTCCCCCTCCCCCTCCCCCTCCCCCCCTCCCCTCCTCCTCCTCCTCCTCCTCCTCCTCCTCCTCCTCCCTCCTCCTCCTCCTCCTCCTCCTCCTCCTCATCCTCCCCCTCCCCCTCCTCCTCCTCCTCCTCCTCCTCCTCCTCCTCCTCCTCCTCATCCTCCTCTTCTCGCTCTCGCTCTCGGCCCTGGTGTCTTTCAGGCGCGGCCACCCTCCTCCTCCTGCTCCTGCTCCTCCTCCTGCCCCCGCCCCCTCCAGCCCTCCAAGGGGAGGACAGAGGACGAGGACGAGGCATCGCGCGCCGCGAACGGCTTCGCGCCCTCGCAGCGGCCCTTGGGTTCGGCTGCCCGGAACACCAGCCAGTGCCGGCCCTGACCAGCCGCGGGACCGTCAGCCTTTGAGCAGGGACCGACCGGCCCGGCATTCCTTTAGGCCTACCATGAAATCTTTTAAGAATCCAACAGTGTTCTAATAACAGAAGCAGGATTCTTAGAACAGAGACTCGATGAGTAAAAACAATACATTCCCAGCCAGAAATGTTCTAATTTTAAGGACATTTCGTGGAAACCAAGAAAGGTTTTTAGAACATTGTTGGGTAGGCCTATAGGCACGCCGCTGCTTGAAGCCCGTCGAACCGATCCCCATCCCCAGAGGCGTGGCCTGGGACCCGCTGGCCGACTTACCCCCCTGGATGGGGATATAGAGGTCGCTCTCTTCGGGTTTCGAGGGGTGTATCCCCAACTGGGGTGGTATTTGGTGGGGGTCTCGAGGGGGATGGAGCTGGGGATGGGGATCGGTTGAACGATACCGAGCCTGGCCGCCCCCGTGGGGTTCGCGGCGGCCCTCAGGAGGCTGACGTCCGCGCTGGAGCCAGTCGCCGAGGGCTGCCAGCTCCTCTTGCTGCTCACCCGTGCGACGGAGAGCCTCCGGCCGCGCAGAAACAACACACTCCTCCTCCTCCTCCTCCTCCTCCTCCTCCTCCTCCTCCTCCTCCTCCTCCTCCTATTCCTCCTCCTCCTCCTCCTCCTCCTCCTCCTCCTCCTCCTCCTCCTCCTCCTCCTCCTCCTCCCTCTCCTCATCCTCCCTTCCTCCTCCTCATCCTCCTCCTCCTCCTCCTCCTCCTCCTCCTCCTCCTCCTCTTCCTCCTCCTCCAGCCACTGACCAAGGTTGCCGTCAATCGCACGGCAACATCGAACCATATCTGCTAGATGCAAGCCATTACTTTCTAACAGGCTACGTGCGGTACGTGCTGGCGAACACGATGTCCGACGTCCAGGTCGCGCCCGGATTCTTCGAGGGGGTCGACCCGGCCCTTGCCATCGCTCGGGTGTCCATTCCACGTGCATTTGTCAATGTCGTGCGTGGTTTTTTTCCCAACCATCCTGTGGTGTTGGGTCCTCGTGTTGAAGAGACGGTCCCCGCGTTCTCTTTCCTCCTCCCCCTCCGGCCTCCTCCCACTCCTCCTTACTCCCTGCGTTTCACCCACCCAGTACAGCGTTTCGTGGCCCCATAGGGAACTCCACCGAAGGCCCCAGTGACACCGCCCACATGCGTCCACCACACCCATGTCGGCACGCCCCTCACACGATTCGTGGCCCCATAGGGAGCTCCACCGAAGGCCGCAGTGCCACTGCACACATGCGTCCACCACACCCATGTCGGCACGCCCCTCACACGATTCGTGGCCCCATAGGGAGCTCCACCGAAGGCCGCAGTGCCACTGCACGCATGCGTCCCCCGCACCCATTTTGGCACACCCCTCACACGTTTCGTGGCCCCATGGGGAGCTCCACCGAAGGCCGCAGTGGCTGCGCTCGCATGACACCTCTTCACCCATTTCGGCACACCCCTCACACGTTTCGTGGCCCCATGGGGAGCTCCACCCAAGGCCTCAGTGGCTGCGCTCGCATGGCACCACCGTTACCATTTCGGCACACACCTCACACGCTTCGTGGCCCCATGGGGAGCTCCACCGAAGGCCCCAGTGGCTGCGTTCGCATGGCACCACCACGCCCATTTCGGCACACCCCTCACACGTTTCGTGGTCCAATGGGGAGCTCCACCCAAAGCCCCAGTGGCTGCGCTCGCATGACACCACCGCACCCATGTTGGCACACCCCTCACACGTTTCGTGGCCCCATATGGAGCTCCACCACAGGCCCCAGTGGCTGCGCTCGCATGACACCTCTTCACCCATGTCGGCACACCCCTCACACGTTTCGTGGCTCCATGGGGAGCTCCACCGAAAGCCCCAGTGGTTGCGCTCGCACGGCACCACCGCACCAATTTCGGCACACACACCTCACACGTTTCGTGGCCCCAAGCTCCACCACAGGCCCCAGTGGCTGCGCTCGCATGATACTTCTTCGCCCATGTCGGCACACCCCTCACACGTGTCGTGGCCCCATAGGGAGCTCCACGGAAGGCCCCAATGGCTGCGCTGGCATGACACCACCACGCCCATTCCGGCACACCCCTCACACGTTTCGTGGCCCCATGGGGAGCTCCACCGAAGGCCCCAGTGGCTGCGGTCGCATTGCACCACCGCACCTATGTCGGCACACACCTCACACGTTTCGTGGCCCCTTGGGGAGCTCCACCCAATGCCCCAGTGGCTGCGCTCGCATGACACCACCGCGCCCATGATGGCACACCCCTCACACGTTCCGTGCACCATAAGGAGCTCCACCGAAGACGATACCAACAAATGCGTTACTCACAACTGCATGCGGTTGGGTCTTTCGCCAAGATAATTTGTCGCAGGACGAGCCAAATCGACGCTAACCGACGCTAGATCGACGCAGACCGACGCTAAATCGGCACTATCTCATCGACTCCCAGACGCCAGTCGCCGCTAATCGACGCTACAAACAAAATTACGAGGGTACACAAGGCTCCCATGATTTCCTGCCGAACTCGATGGCCCTCGCCGAAAGACAAATGCACACGCCTCAAGGATGCAAAGCCCGGTGCCGGGCCAGCTCGGTGCACGCCTTCCGCGAGTGCTGGCGCGCGCGGCGGCATGCTTACCGAGCTGGTCTGGGTGCTGCACTGCTGGCGTCGTCCCAGGGGAGGCGGACGGGGGAGGCGGTGGGATGAGGCCACCATTCGCCGCCTCACTCGTCGTCCTCCCCCCTCAGCCCCTCTCCCTCCTCTTCCTGCCGCCACTGCCCCCTCCTCCACCACCTCCTCCTCGTCCTCCATCCGAGGAGGAGGATGACGAGGAAAACGGGAAGGTAAAGAGGAGGTGGCAGGACGAGGAAGAGGAGGAGGAGAAGGAGGAGGAGGAGCAGGAAGAGGAGGGGGAAGACACAGAGAGACACATCTGGGGGCATTAAGTCAGGGTAACTCCATCAACCTCGGATTGCCCTAAGACAGGAGGAGGAGGAGGAGGAGGAGGAGGAGGAGAAGGAGGGAGGGGATGGAGGAGAAGGCGGAGGAGGAGGCGGAGAAGGACGATGGAAAGAGTCAGAGACAGTGGTGGCAGAAGTGCGAAGAGATGTTTGGAAGAGGTAGAGCAGAACGAGGCGAGAGGAGGAGGAGGAGGAGGAGGAGGAGGAGGAGGAGGAGGAGGATGGGGAAGGGGAAGAATGGATTAAGAAACGTGGCTCAGAGGCAGGAGGAAGACCGAGAGAGAGAGGGAGAAACGATGTGCACGATGGAGTGGATGTGGGGAAGTAGAAGGAGGAGAAGCAGGGGGCGGGTCAACGAGAAGGTAGGATGCAGACGAGGAAGTACAAGCGCAAAAGCGCCGCCACACGCAGTTACTGTAACCGATGCGGGCTGGGAGGGAAGACCCAGCCATGCAATGATCGCTATGTCGGTGCACCCGCTGGCTGACACTGCAGTGCACATGTTATGCACTAGTTAAGTGCGGGGAGCCGTGTGGAAGCCGTTGCTCAAGCATAGACCTGGACCGCGCTGGCAAACTTATGCAAACCGCCCTCGAAAACGATGCTGATAGCTGTAATTGCAAACGCTGGGGATGCAAAGGTTGCGCGGGGAAAAAGGACTGTAGCGCGGCACCCAACAGTCTCACAGAGGAGAAAGAGATCAGTGGGCGTAGTGTGCTTGCGCCCGTGCAGCTTCTGGAGTAAACGAAAACTTTGTTTTGAACCAGCACCTGCGCAGGGAGTCATGGTCATTTGGCCCAGATCTGCCAAGCAACATCGAGAAATCAACGAGCCCCGCGTTGACGTACCCACATCGCGGTTCTCACTCTTGCACGCGAGGCCCGAGCCTCATTCACCAGATGACCGAAGAAGACCGCCATCGCGATCCTTGAAACTCCGTTTGACGTGTGACAATCTGGATTCAGACCTCAGCGATCGGGGCGCAGCCGTCCTCATAAAGTGGACGCACATCGACGAAGGCCCCTCCAGCAGCCCATGGGAAGCAATGAACTTCGTGACTGCCACGTCCATGCAGCCCTCGGCTGCACCGCAGTGGCAGCGACGTCGGGAGGGCGCCTGCTGCACGGGTCCATCACGGAGTCGTACAGGCGGGGCAGGGGAAGAGGTTGGGCTGGGAGGAGCATCGCTCCAAACGGCCCCTGGAGGAAGGAAGGGCGAGCATGCGGCCGGTTCGTGCCCTGACCCCGCCTTGGGACAACCCGGCCCCCCTTCAGAGCAGGTGGGGCAGGGGAAGAGGTTGGGCTGAGAGGAAAACCGCTCCAAACGGCCCCTGGAGGAAGGAGGGGCGAACATGCGGCCGGTTCGTGCCCCGACCCCGCCTTGGGACAACCCGGCCCCCCTTCCGAGAACCCCCGACAACCAGCCTGCGCCCGCCGTGGCAGGGGCTGCTCGCGCGCGCTGCCCCGCGCCGCTGCTCCGAGGCACCGACGATTTTCCTCGCCATATATGCCTGCCCAGTGCCAAGAACGCCAGAAAGGGGGGCGTGAACTCAGGGGCGGCTCGTGGGCCTGCAGCTCGGCGAGCTCGGCCTGCTGGTGCTCTTCGGCGTCGCTCCTGCCCTGCTCGGCCTGCGCCCGCGAGAGCGGCCCGCGCGAATGCGCGGGGGTGTGGGCGCCAGCCCGCTGCCGCCCTCGATGGGGCGCCGCCGAGGGCGGCACGGCGGCGGGGGTTCCCCCCGGAGCCCTCGCCTCGCCGCCCTCGCCCGTGCAGCAGCCGTGGAGGTCGAGGCCCCCGCGGCCCAGACCCCCGCCGGCCCGGCCTCCTCCGACCCGTGGGCGCGGCGGGCTCTGCATGCGCGCGCGGGCCAGCGCGGCAGCGGGGGCCCAGCTGCCGCGCAGGGCGCGCCAGTGGCCGCGGGGGGTGGCCCGGCCCGCGGCCTTTGCCGACGGCCGGACCTCCGGACGGCCGCGCCCCGCAGACCTCCGACGGGGCCCCAGGGACACTCCGCCCCTGCGGGCCTGAGTTTCGTTCCGTCCCTGCGGGCGCCCGCGCGGGTTCTCTCCGTCTCTCGCTTGCATTTCGGCTCGCTTGTGCCGCGAGGGTGCTGCGTAACTCGCCTCAGAAGTTCAGCCTGTTGTCCGAGCCTCTCACGCTCAATAAAAGCCGGCGAGGCCCCGAAAGGGGTTAGCGGCGCGCCGAAAGGGGGGCGGGGGGAGGGGGTGGACTTCTCAGAAGGAGGTTGCTTCTCAGACGGCGTGAACCTGACATCTACAGACCAGGCCCGCGCCTTCTAAAAAAACCACGGGTGTTTTCAAGAAAAAGCCCCCTCCTCTCCCGACCCCTCTTGTGCGCGTGGCTGAACGGACCTCCAGAGGTTACATCATGCGGAAAGAACACATTCCAGTCGCCGTCGCCTCAATCATTTTCGGGGCGCCAGGTCCGAGGTTGCGGGAGGCGTTGGACCCGAATGTCAGACGGACTGGCCATGTTCATTCCGCGGGTTCCAGAAGACCTCCGGCCAGATCCATTTTTGATGGTCCTCGGGCTTGGACAACTGCCACTCGGGGCCGA